TTCAGAAATTCAAAAATTCAGAAATTCAGAAATTCAGAAAATTCAGGTATTCAGGGATTTAGAAATTCAGAAATTCAGAAATTCAGGTATTCAGAAATTCAGAAATTCAGAAATTCAGAAATTCAGAAATTCAGAAATTTAGAAATTTAGAAATTCAGAAATTCAGAAATTCAGAAATTCAGAAATTCAGGTATTCAGGGATTTAGAAATTCAGAAATTCAGAAATTCAGGTATTCAGGGATTTAGAAATTCAGAAATTCAGAAATTCAGAAATTCAGAAATTAAGAAATTCAGAAATTCAGAAATTCAGAAATTCAGAAATTCAGAAATTCAGAAATTCAGAAATTCAGAAATTCAGAAATTCAGAAATTCAGAAATTCAGAAATTCAGAAATTCAGAAATTTAGAAATTTAGAAATTCAGAAATTCAGAAATTCAGAAATTCAGAAATTCAGGTATTCAGGGATTTAGAAATTCAGAAATTCAGAAATTCAGAAATTAAGAAATTCAGGTATTCAGAAATTCAGAAATTCAGAAATTCAGAAATTCAGAAATTCAGAAATTCAGGTATTCAGAAATTTAGAAATTTAGAAATTCAGAAATTCAGGTATTCAGGGATTTAGAAATTCAGAAATTCAGAAATTCAGAAATTAAGAAATTCAGGTATTCAGAAATTCAGAAATTTAGAAATTCAGAAATTTAGAAATTCAGAAATTTAGAAATTCAGAAATTCAGAAATTTAGAAATTCAGAAATTCAGAAATTTAGAAATTTAGAAATTCAGAAATTCAGAAATTCAGAAATTCAGGTATTCAGGGATTTAGAAATTCAGAAATTCAGAAATTCAGGTATTCAGGGATTTAGAAATTCAGAAATTCAGAAATTCAGAAATTCAGAAATTAAGAAATTCAGAAATTCAGAAATTTAGAAATTCAGAAATTCAGAAATTCAGAAATTCAGAAATTCAGAAATTCAGAAATTCAGAAATTCAAAAATTCAGAAATTCAGAAATTCAGAAAATTCAGGTATTCAGAAATTCAGAAGTTCAGAAATTCAGAAATTCAGGTATTCAGGGATTTAGAAATTCAGAAATTCAGAAATTCAGAAATTCAGAAATTAAGAAATTCAGGTATTCAGAAATTCAGAAATTTAGAAATTCAGAAATTCAGAAATTCAGAAATTCAGAAGTTCAGAAATTCAGAAATTCAGGTATTCAGGGATTCAGAAATTCAGAAATTCAGAAATTCAGAAATTCAGAAATTCAGAAATTCAGAAATTCAGAAATTCAGAAATTCAGAAATTCAGAAATTCAGAAATTCAGAAATTCAGGTATTCAGGGATTTAGAAATTCAGAAATTCAGAAATTCAGGTATTCAGGGATTTAGAAATTCAGAAATTCAGAAATTCAGAAATTCAGAAATTAAGAAATTCAGAAATTCAGAAATTCAGAAATTCAGGTATTCAGGGATTTAGAAATTCAGAAATTCAGAAATTCAGAAATTCAGAAATTAAGAGATTCAGGTATTCAGA